TACTTGTCTCTTTCTATTCTTTCTTCTAACTAACGCGCTTATATCGCCATCTGCTGGAAAACTACGAATATGCACATCACACGACGAAAAACGTGAATTTCTCACTTCAAAAACTTTATCGTCGCATATTTCTGAAAATCTGAAACAAACAAAAAAAACGGAAAAATACTTTTTTTTAAATATTTTATTCTGAATCGATTAAGACCAAAACGAAATTGATCGGTTCAGTCGTTACTTAGATATTGCCTTGAGAAAATCTTCCCACTTCTATTTTGCATGAATCTCGCGTATAATTGGCACGGTGTGCTCGCACAGTTCGAGCGCAACTTCGTTGCGCGTAAAACTTGGCGCGAGGCACTACCGTGCCTCTTGATTAAAATAAATATTTTTAATGTCAAGATGTTTCCATAAAGATTTTTTGTATCTATATAATAAATTATATTATTATATTATTTAGAAAACGAATCCCAAAAAAATTGGATGTTACATTTTGTTGCATATAATAATAATGCAGTTATAGTTTATATTTTTTCCAATTTAATATTTATATACAAAAAATATTTAAATAATTTAATAAGAGAAATTCAAATGTGTGCTTCTACTTTTCTATGGAATTATTACCATAATAAATAAATAAATGTTAGTATTATTGTAAAGAAATAAATAATCAGTATCGACATCTTAACATTTTTTCATCACAATAAATAATACTATTGTCAAGATGTTGAAAATAATCTACATAAATGATTATGTATTTATTTATTTACGAGAAAAATCCCACAAAAACAACAAAAAAATTTTTCTTGTTTCTTACTTTTACAATGTTTTTGTTTATTAATGTTTAACAATTTTTTTATTGAACAATTTTCTTGTTACAAATATTCCAATACTTACATATTGTTTGTATGAAAAATTGTAATCTTAGGCAATTGAAAAAAATATAATAATAGAAAATTAGTGCATTATTATTTGTAATTAATGTAACATTAAATGTAACTTCAAGTTTCTTTCCTTCATATGATCCATCTCGTAAGTAATTACATAAATACATTTAAAAAAATTATTATTATTACATCTTGACATTACAATTATTTATTTTGATTTATACAAATGTGAAGTCCATGCTTTTGCATTTCCTTGTCGGTACTTGATTTTTATGTAATATACAAAATGTCTGAAGAATTTTGACACAGCTAAAGTGTTAAGATAAATTGAGTTAATCTGAACAGAAAAGTCTTGTACCATTTTGCAAACTTTGCAATAGGTATTGAGTGATTAATTAATATATGTGACCAAATGAGCTCGTGAAAAGCAATGGACTTAGTAGGAATGTACGATTTTTAGTTGTAAAAAAAAACAGCTCACTTCAATCTTTTAAGAGATGAAAAGAGCAAGAGGCAAACAAGCGAGTGACACAGCTTCTTGTGATCAGTTGATTTTTACAACTGAAAATCATACACGCCTACAGAGTTCGGACCATCGCTTACCACGTGCTCATTAGATCCCATGTATTCATTAATCATTCAATAAGTATTACAAATTTTGCAAAACGATACGTGATTTTTTGGTTCAGATTAATCTAATCTATTTTTATATTCGGCTATGTCAAAATTTTTCAAACACCTTATACATTTAACATAACATTGCTATTATTACATATGTATACATTATTATTATTGTATGTTGTTTTAAATACTTTTAATTAGGTAAACATTTGGGAAATTTCTGTTATTTCATTATGAAGAACAACACTGAATAATCATCAATTTAAAACGTGAGAATAATAAGTGCTTGTTATCTGGAATTATTCTCCATCTAATTTATTACTATTGCGCTATGTTTTGTACACATTCATAAAAAAATAGATTGATATTGTACGTTCATCATTGCAAATGTTTTACTGTTTAAATGTATGTCAAAAGCAATAGAATATATTGGGAATTATTAGTGCATCTTTGACAGAAGTCTTGAAATGCTTCCAAGTTTCCTCTGATTGCTAGTACTTCAACGTTGGTTTTTGCTTCTTAATGGATAGTGGAACATGCATAACAACGGTACTGCTTCAAAACCGTAGTGACAATTAGAAACTGTCCTTCTAAAGCAGGATCGCTTCTGCGCGCGTCCTATTATTAACCCATACAGCACAAGACATCCTCAGGATTATCCTGAATATGTCCAGGCCGGCTCAGGACAGTTAGTGGACGTTTTAAGGTATTATTATATATATATTTTATGAAAATTTAATACATTTATTAAATGCATACATTATTACTTTTAAGTATGTAAAGTA